CTATCAAGATCAGAGGACAATTTACAGAAGTTAGTTCTCTCCTTCTACCATGTGGGATTGAACTTGGGTCATTAGACTTGGCAGCAAGCACCCTTATCCACTGAGCCATCTTACCAGCCCATCATCTAACTTCTAAGACCATCAAAAGAAAATGTGTTAAAACACCCACTGTTCCTAAATTTGTCTCACAAGAGCCATAAAGAACAACACTTCTCTCTTCCACACTGAATAACCCTCTATATATTCTAACACAACTAATTCTGCCTTCTCTTATCTGGGCTCAGAGACAGACCATCAGCCTCCCTCCTGTGATGTGTTTTGTAGCCTCCTCCCCATCCAGGCCTCCCTTAGGGCACATTCCAGCTTGTCAGAACTTTAAGTAAAGTTTGACTACAATAAAGTCAGATAAATCTGCTTGCCAGTTTATAAACTATTATAAACATCATTCACAATCCTGAAAAGGCTGACTTTATAACTAACTTTAGTCGTATATTTAAAATGCTTCCAAGGCATGAATTTTATTTTTGCTCTGTTATATGTTGGATATTGCATTGAAGCTTGATGTCATTCACATGACAAATGCCAACAGCAGCTCTATGAACACAGTCACATGGGCATGGAGGCTCTGGACAGGTAACTACACAAGGGTCACTTTCCTCTCCTTCTTCCCTCTCCATCAGCATTACAGTGAGCTCTGCATCTCCCAGGGGTATAAAGCCTGATTTCCTTCCACACATCTTTTTTGTATATCACATTCTCTCTGGTACTACTTTTTTTCCCCATACACATAACTTATGTTTATAAATTCCTTAACTAAACTGGTAAGTTGGGGAGAGGATCCATAGAAACAAGAAACTATAAACCTCAAATATTTTATTTGCTTATAATAAAATTTACATCCCAGTTAACATAGCTTTCAAGTTTAAGCTGCACTTGCTCTATTTCAGATTTTGTCCATGACTATTTGCTAAAGGCAAAGAGATTTAGTACACAATTGAAAGATTTGTTTTAATAGTTCCAAGGTCTGTTAACTTTTAACTTTGACATTATGGATGTTCGTCACAGGGCACTTAGTTTCCTAAAATGTGTATTGTAGAAACTGTGTTTGCTCATGTCAAGTTGTAAATGTCACCTGTGATGAGAGACACTCAAGGCAGCTCCAATCTTGGTGGCAATTAGCTTGCTCTCAGTGGACTTGGCTGACTTAGCTCTGTAACCTCCCTGGCATGAAGGCAGTGGCATCACCTGCCAGACAGAAAGCACCAAGCTCCTTTATACGGGCTTTTTCTGAGCATAATACATCATAGAACCTAACAGATTTCTGTTTTTAAAAGTCATGAATTTTTTTAAAATTCTCCAATAATAGCAACTATGTCTTACTCATCTCAGCATCGTCCTGAACACCTGGCTCAGAGCTTCCCAAATGGGAAGTGCTCAACAATGTTAACTGAAGCAAACTGAAATGTTCCTCAGAGCAGCTCTCACAGGAGGCTCAATTCCACTGCAACTAAAATGCAACATGAAGGTTTATGAGAAATCAGGGAGTTGTCACCTTTTTCACTGGGGTTAGTGATATTTGTTCTAGAATATATATTGGAGCTTAGCACATAATAAACTCAGTAAATATAATTTCTCTACAAGAAGTGTATTACTTGTACAATCACAGTTACTTTTTAAAAGTCATCCTGGCAGAAATAGGGATTAATCTTTACATGGAAAGTTCTCTGGAATAATGTTCAAAGTCTGTGGCAGCAGATGATAAAGGTTTAACCCAAGTAACTTTAAACAAAGAAAAGGGCAAGCATGTATTGCTTCATGGAGTGGAGAGGTCTAGGCGGGGCTGAACTCACCAGCATGGTCCCCTTCCTCCCTTCCTCACTCTCTTCATTCTTCTTTGCTTGCTTCACTCTTAGAATGACCCTTTGTTGATTCTTAAGGAGACTGGGGTTGACTATGTGTGGACCACACATTTCTCCCTGGGCAGAAAGCAAGGCATTATGCTAGAAATATGCTAGACCCCAAGAATACAGGTATGGAGTTCTCCAAAAGAAAGGATGCTGGGCTGAGGTGAAATTCTAAGTCCTCAGTTTCTTCTCTGGGGTAAGGTGGAAATGAACTCACCATCATTCTGCCAAGCTGAGCTGCAAGGCGACTGTGGTTATACAATTAACATACTCTTCATTTACTACAGAGAAATCACATTTACCAAGTCTGTTCTATACCAAACAGAGCGACTGGCAGACAGACATGTTACAAGTCTTAGCTGATTCTTGCTTATTTAATTTCACAACAGGTAGATGGTACTTAAGATTAGGGTATACAGAAACTGAGAAGTCAAACAGTAAATGTCAGAACCAAAAATACTAACCAAGTCAGTCTGTCTCCAAAACCTCTTTCTTTTTACCATGTGACATTAAGTTTGGAAGCTGTTTTGAGTGTCTTTACTGTGAGTAAGACAGCCAAAATTGAACAGATCTATGGAAAGCCATTTACCATGTCTTCAAAGATTTCCACTAGATTTATACTAATGCCTGAAATTTCTCCATAAGATACATAAGACACTTTTGATAGACTAAATCATTATCACTGCTTAATTTATGTTACTATTTTACTACAAAGAATTCCCAAGAGCACTTGGGATATGCTAGTCTTGTTAAAGGGCAAATGCCCCAGGTGTGGTAACAGCTATGCAGCTTTTTGTTTTGTCAGCCAAAAATTTTATGTACATCAAAAAGCTCCCACTCCTTTTTGTCATGGCTCCAGGATAGTGGACACAGGAACAGGTCATGACACACAGCTAGAGAACAGGACATCACAGCAGCCAGTGGCTGCCCCCAGGGACTGGGAACAATCTACAGCCTAGGTACTCCAAGGAGAATTATCCAGCATTTGCTGGAAGAATGCAGACAAATGTTGAAAAGTCCTGAGAACAACAATAAAAGGAAATACAGTTACCACACAGCCTGTGAAACAACAGACAGACTCCAGAGGTGAAATTGAGTAATAACTACTAGCATTCGCTCTAATGTTTCTATACTTAATTTTAGAAACAAACCTCCTGGGATACATTATTTAGTAATGGGACAATCTAATCGTTATTGACTATGGCTGAATGTTTTACATTGTACATTACTGCTGCCACCACAATATAATCACAGAGACCTTATGCAAAATGTCATCTTGGGTTACACAGCACTACTGGCTTTTCTGCATAAGAAAGGATAACAGATACTGAGCAGTCTGGGATCTGGGCCTTCCGCCAGCTTTTGGCCCCAACACCCCAGAGGACTGACTGTAACTGAGAAATTCCCCACTCTTCCGGCTGCCAGCAAATTTCCCTTTGAAATGGGACAGTTGGGAAGCATATATGTAATAATTGTATTTCATAAACAGTTTTGAAAATAATCCTGACATAGTACCTAGCACACAGTAAGCATTCAATAAATTAAGCAGAAAAGGAGGTAAGGGAATGGAAAGGAAGGAGAAAGGGACAGAAAGGAAAGAAAAAAATGGGTCTTATCTACATCATTCATTCTTGAACTCCCTAGACTTTAGTTCTACAGGCAAATGGGGCGAGGTGAACAATCTTTTTAAATTATAATAGTTCCTTATAAGATTTGTTTTTATTTTATTTTATGTGTTTGTGTTTCTGTGTGTCTGTACATCATGTGTGTGCTGGAACCCACAGAGGTTAGAAGAGGGCTGTTGGATTCCCTGGAGCTGGAGTTACAGGTGCTTGTAAGCTGCCCAACATGGGTGTTGTGATCTGAACTTGGGTCCTCTGGAAGAGCAGCAAGTGCTCTTAACTACTGAGCCATCTCTCCAACCCCAAACTAGTTCTTAACTAGAGTCATCTTAAATTCTCCCACACTTATAGCCTAATAGGAAATGTGTACCTTCTTCTTCATTGGCAAGCATTTATAACATGGATCCTCTGGATAAGACACTTTTAGGGTGCTGTGCAACAATAAGCATATACAACATGTTTTGAATGTGAGGTGCTGGAAATCCACATGATAAAATGAAGCAAAGGTGTGAAAGAAGCCATGAAGTCTGTGTATCTAAAGTAGAAAAAAGATCAGCATCACAGAAACCCAAAGCTAAAAAATAGCCGAGGTGTCAATGTGTCACTTCACCGTCTGGCCCACTAGCCCTTACAAAAGCCCTAATAATGAGTGGCTTGGCCATCCTATGCTTGGACACTGGAGGTGAAAGCAGACTGAGTACCTTATGAAATGGTTCAATACAACTTTGGCCATTCACCTATTTTATGCTACATAAAAGCAAAATGCTTCAAAATGGGAAAATGTGTAATAGAAAAAGAACAATGAAAATGTTTTAGTGTAATTACTAAGTTTTCTTTGAGGTTTACTTAACGAGGTAGCTAAATGGTGGTCAGTATACCTATGTCATGACAGTTTTGTTCAAAGGCATTCCCTTCAGGCAGCTATCAGAAAGTAGGAAATTCAAATAAAAACAGCCCTAGAAAATTTTTTAGAAAAAGCTACACTGGAGAATATCTATAGCATCTGTTAATGCTACAGTTTCTGTGGTGATGTTTTTAATGTCAAGAATATTCCTACATGGAACAGAAAGAGTCTAATTTTCCAAAAATTATGAACCAATTCTCAGTATATTCTATTTACTATGGCCCAAAATAAAACAAGTATAAAATCTGAAAACCTGTTCAACTGCTAGGATTTCAGCATAAGAGCTTTGCTGCTTTGTGCTTCATAAACTGATAAACAAACCATAATGAGCTCTCCTGTATTTATTTACCCTATTATCAAGATTTCTGGATATGCATAATTAACTTTCAGTATGAACTTAGGCCCTTGTACAACTGGGTGATTAGAGAATCATTTTGTTTGCTATTAATAGATTAAATGGTAGCACTAATAAATCAATTAAAACAGAATTTTTCTATCCACCAGCACCACCACCAAATGGTAGAAGCAGGATAAAACAGGAGGAGAGGGGAGGTGCCACATGACTCTTACCACTTGGGCTGTTGGGTCTATCCTTGCTGTATCTCTGTAGGACTGCAGAGGACCGGCTTTCCAACTCACCTGTGTTTTGAGAATAATACCCACAAATTTAACTTTTCACCAAAACCCCATTGAATTCTCCTAATTTGAGCTACCTTCTAGAAGAACATTCCAGAGCCATAACTCTTTATGATAGATTTAGAGGGAAGAGCCTGGATATTGGTACTTTTGTGCACTGCCCCTATTAGACGCTCAAAGAACAGATGACTTGGAGCAGGTTAACCAGCCTACTAAGTATTTGGGAACACAATGATAAAGAAGATGGAGAGATTACTGTACAACACTATAACAAGATCAAAATGTCTCTGGGGAGTCTTTCACACATTACTAACACACCTTAGGGACAGGATACTTCCAGGTAGTGCTAATTTATGTTTTTCCTGAGACATACTGATCAGTGAAACCTCTGACACTTTTAAGCTCCTCCTTAGTAAGTCCCATTAGGCATGCACTATCAGCAGCTTAGCAATACCTGGCACAGAACCTTTTCTTTAAACCATCTATAGCAGAGAAATTAAACACAACATCGGGAGATGGTCTACATATCTACATATGTGTGCACGAGACGTGTAAATGAGTATGAGGAAAAAACAATGAAGTCATGACAAAAATCAAAGACAGGTGGAAGAATGAAGTGGGAATATGGAAGAGCAGGGCTCGGCTGGGGTGAGTGTGGAGAGGGGCCAGGGCATGAATGCACTGGCTCTGTCATTTGTACTCCTGGGCTAGAAGCTCTCTTCAGGCACAGCACAATGTTTTCATTTTCCTTTTGAAAGTCTGGAATCTAGGAAGGGAACCCAAAAAACATTGTACAGAACTTCCCATCAACCAGTATTAGGAAGCACTGTATCTAAAAACATGAGACTTTGCTCTGCAGCCATCCCAGAAGAGAAAGACAGAGAAGAGCACACTCCTCGTTGAACTGAGACTCGCCTTCTCCTGGGAGAGCCAAGAATACTATTCACAGAGGAGAGTCAGGGCAGAAGGAAAGCAAGCACTGCCAAGGAAAGCCCCAAGCAGTGGAACAGAAAGGATGAGGGTCAAGAAGGAATTCCTGTTGCCGGTGTGGTGGCGCACACCTTTAATCCCAGCACTTGGGAGGCAGAGGCAGGTGGATATTTGTGAGTTCGAGGCCAGCCTGGTCTACACAGTGAGTTCCAGGAAAGCTGGGGCTACAAGGAGACCCTGTCTCAAAAAGACCCCCCCAAAAAAAATAGAAAAAGAAAAGAAAAAAAAAAGAAGAAATTCCTATGCTTGCATCTGTCCACACCAAAGATTTTCAGATAGAGATGGCCTTCAGAAAGTGTGAATCCATCCACCCAAATCTTCAGGAGCTACATACAACTCATTGTGGCCCACATCTGAAAAGGTACCAGCTGCCAGAGCAAGTGCTCGCTCTTACAAAGTGGCTGGCTTATCTCCGGTTGTAAGAGCAGGTCTATCACACTGCACAGTGTCATTTTCACAAGTAAAATTCAGAGTTTATTGGCTCTCATTTATTGGCTGTCGTTAACAGTCAAATGTTCCAAAGTCTCCCAACGTTTATTCCAGGGCATCCTCCAAAGATTTCTTAGGAAAACTGACTGATTTCCCAAATGAATAACAGGTAGAGAATATGTATTAACTTTTTTACCCTGTCCTTGCCCAGTTTCCTGAGAAACAAACAGCAGGAAATACAAAAGAGAAAGAGATCTTTGAGTATCTGAACTAGATAGGAAATTCTGCAGACCTGTTTGAGAATCACACTGGCATGGCAGAGACACAGCTGTAAATACAGCCATAAGACTGGGAACATTTTATTCAAAGGGAAATTAAAAATCCATATTTTGGGACAAGTAGCATAAGACAAACTCTGTTCAGAGCAATTCCAGTACCAGCAGCCTATACAACAGAGCTAAAATGTAAGTGAATACATGCTAGCAGATGAAGGAAATCTTTCAATCACCACTAAGTTCGGCTTTCTGGGCCAGGAGCAGATGCAGAATCTGCCTTCCATTTGCATATCTCCCCAGATTGGTCTCCGGTGGAAGCAGCATCACTGGAGTGATTTTACAGTTACACCTGAATTCTTTCCATAAGAACAAAGCAGAAGACTTGTGAAAAGTACCTACAAATTCCAATCCATGTCATTTTGGAACCAGGTTACCTCTGCATGTAACGACTAAGCTGTGCTCCCTCTGAAAACATGCCAGTTTCACACAGAGAAGTCTGATTTGTACAATGTTTCAAATTGAATGCAGTTATTTAAAGAAACTCAAAACTAAATTTTGACTAGATAGTGAATGAACAGGGGCTATAAGAATACCAACAGAGGAAAATGAGGCGCCAGCGCTGACCTATCAGTTGAGTTACTGTACTTTCACACCAGCCGTTGGAAACGCATGGTTGAAAACCACAGCTCGTTTTCCTGCTGTTTCCCATGGGGAAAAGCCAAACCTCACCCCCAGGGCAACCCCCACGGACTGACCAAGCACCTCAGCTCCCGCGCGCACAGAGGTACTCACAGATTTTCCCCTCGTCTCTTGCGAAAGGGAAGCAGCAGAGCTGGCCCATCCCGTCGGCGGCACCGCACAGGGAAGCTGTGTCTACACAGCAAACTGATCTATGAGCTCTGGCCACCGCCTGCAGCCCAGAGCAGCTCCAGAGCAGAGAAAGCAGGCGCAGCACAGCGGAGAGAAAGGGAAGGGAGAGAGAAAAGGCTCCACCTCCTGGCCCTCCAGCTCCAGCGACTGCTCTGGGACCAGCTTTTGGGAGGAAAGTGGCCATATGCCCGCCTAATTCTCAGAGCACCAGGAGTCCTGGCCTTAGAAGCCAGGCTGTCTGCAGGTGTCTTTAAGAAAGTAAAGGAGAAACACCCCAAATCCTTTCTCATGCAGACCAATGCAGCAATTACAGATAGAAATTCAAACTAGGATTTTTTTAAGCCATTATTTTCTATCTGCTATTTAAAGAGGTAGAGCTTTATGCACAGAGAACACAACATATCAAGATGCCGGGAAATGCTGTGCCATTTAACTACCTAATAAACTGCATGAACAAAAGAGATGGGGTGGCAACGGCTGGAATCAACCATTATCTGCACTTTACATATTTCTTTAAAGTTAAATATCTGCTGGTTGGAGTACTGCCTTACTTCTCTGATAAGCATTAATCAATATTATAAAATTTCAATTTGTAGCATCACACATCTTAGTAGCCTGGAAAATTCCCCAAATCTAGAACAGGTCAGGGATAAGGGCATCATTTTGAAAGATGCTACAAGGGCACATTCAAGGGCAGCAAAACTACTCATTTCAAAAGACATGATAATTTTTGAACTTTTAAAATGAGAACATGGATTTCATGTAACAATCTGTTGTCTCATATAGGGAGTAGCCTTATGCTGTGGCACACTGCTCTTAGGACGAGCACTTCCATTCAGAGTCTTCCTTTACATCTCTGTGACCTAGCTAGCACACACATCAATCTGTCAGGAACCCAAGGAGAAGAAAAGAGATGATGGCAATTTCAACGCACAGAACGCAGCATGCCTACTTTTACACCCACCAAACTAGGAGAGTTCAAAAGAATAAATTCACCAATCTTACAAATTCTAAATGCTGCATTAAAAATAAAGAACCAAGAAGTTGACAACATTAGAATATATTTTCAATGACCTAATTTTGTTGTACTGGGGATTGAACCTAGGGCCTTACTTATGCTAGGCAAGCACTCTACCCCAGCTTGCTTGCTTGCTTTATTTATTTATTTATTTATTTATTTATTTATTTATTTGAGAGAAACAGGGTCTCACTATAAGCTAGCTGGCCTTGAATCCACTCTGCAGTCCAGGCAACCCTTGAACTTGTGACCCTCCTGCTTCAGCCTCTGGAGTAGCTGGGATTGCAGGTGTGAGCCATTATACTAGGCTAGAATTTTATAAGAATGTTGAAAATGTTTTAGAGTGCATCAAGTGAGTAACGCTATTTCTGTGGCTCACAGGTACATGAATACATGCTTGTTTCTCAAGACTAGAAATGTAAAGATCTATGTGATAAAACCAAATATTTGACTAATTAAGTGAAATTGGCAGATCTATCTACATAATGAAAACTAATACTTGAAACATAACGTATCTTTAAGTGGATTTCACTTTTTCAGAGTACTTTAAATGTAAATAGAATACTTATCTTGCCAAGATTTTAAGAGAGCACTCCATTTACTATACAATGAACACCATCAGAGCTGGTTTGTTTCTTCATGGCTTATCAGCCTATGAATTAATAGCAAATTTAAAACTATTCCAGCATTGCTTCTCAAACTCACCAATACTTGAGGCAAAACCTTAAAATATAAAGTAAAACTCTGTATATAAATGTAAATAAAATACTCTTTAATAGTATAACATGAACCTCCTAAGACTAGAAAGCAAAATAATGTGGGTTATTGATCTGAACTCAGGTCCTCATGCTGGCATGGCCAGAATTTTACGAACTGAGCGATCTCAGCAGCCCCCTGATAAGACATTTAGAATCAGAAAACCATGGGTTTGAGTCCCAGATCTATCATGTGTTTATATGTATAAAAGTTTGAGCTATCAGAATTTTGATAGCTTCACTGGTAAATTCATTATCAAGTTCTAAGGTGTAATTGCAAAGTAAATAGTATTTGGGAATGAAAAAGAAGACAGAATGTCTTCATCTATATGTACCTTAGCCCTTCAGCACCAGCTAGCAATCTTGCCTACTCCTCTGGCAATTTTCTATACTGCTAGTGTGCTCACTTGAGTTAATGCTTCTCTATCTGATCTCCAGATAAAGGCACATCACTCAGTGCAGTGTCAGGGAATAACAGTCATGATAAACACCATCAATTCGACTTTACTAATAATCCCTGCTGGCACTGCTTCTGAAAATATGCAATTATGAATAAAATACATAAAATGGGTCATTAGCTAAGTACCAGTACTATAAGGGTAATCTAAGGAGGGCTATACAATGTTAGAGACTTTTCCATAAATAACCAAAGTAAACTAACCTAAC